TGATCATAACTTTAAAACATTTAAATAAACAAACTTGTGAAATTTGAATCATGTGTTCGAAAAGACAAACAACTTAAAGAAAAGTTCAGCTAAAAGAATAGGTTTGACAAACATGTATTAAAAATATCCTAAAAGGGGGGAAAAATATCCTGAAATTAACTATCATGCATATCTGTACTTAGCCTGCTTCTTTGCTAGTTTTCCCCTCTACACCCTTCAGTATAGCTGCTGACTGTAAAAAACATTAGTTATTTAAAATAGGAGAATCCTGAATAATGCAGCTGTCAGGTAGAGCAGAAACAGGATGCGGATAATTGGAAAGGAGCCATTCCTGTAAGGTTGCAGTGCTTAAAATGAACTTTCATGAATAACACAGGTGTGGCTGCACATTTAAATGATTTGAATGTATGGAAACACAGCAATGACACTGTGATGAACTTCCTCGTTAATACTTGGGCTTAATTAAATCCTCTCTTGTGTGTCGTGAGGATATCAGTGTATCGGAAGGAAATCAAAATAAGAACGGCAAGCTTTAGTGCTAGCTGCTCCCACCCCACCCCCATTAATTTAGACATCCTACGGTACAAAATTTTAAGTGGTCCCTGGAGGAAAAGAAACTCCCTTAGCTCAGCCGGCTGTCTTCTGCTCTACTCTCAGAGCAAATCCACTAATGTTTTGACATCTGGGAAAGAGGAGGAGTGGTCAATTAGCCTGACAGGACTGTGTGTTGTATACAATGTTTAGGGGCCAGACATAGCGCCTGAGATTACTCAGCATTGTGGAAAACGAGGGGTTGTGTTTCGTCCTGTTTAAGCAAGAGACTCACACAAGAAGGAAGACATATGCATAAATTAAGAGGCATTTTAAATCTCCATTGCGTTCACAGACACTCATTTATCCAGTCTGGATCACATGTCTAGTCTATAGCATCTGTTGTTGAATGTATTTATTTATTTTTAATGCTTTAAAGATGTGATTTACTGTTTATAATCAGTTTTTCATGCAGGCTGAACATGAATATAGTCTCCTGCACCTCCTGCATCAGCTTCTGATAGAAAATAGACGGTGAAAGTCTAGGATAAAAAAATTGGACAGATCTACGTCACACTGGACTCACCCATCGTGACTCACGACAGCAAAGGCTGTTGTTGGTTTAATGTCTGGTAATCAGCAGCTGACATTTCGGCTAGTTTAAGCTAACCATTAGCATTAGAAACTTAATCTCATGGCAGAACCTCTCCAGTGTTAGTTATGAGATAAAACACCCACAGTAGAAGTCAGTGGCAGAGCTGCATTACTGTTATCCAGTCTGATGTTCAAATATCAGATAATAAGGCTCTAAAACCGTGTTAAGCTCTCCTTTAATGTCACAGACTTGGCCCTGCTGAGCCAGGGGTTTGTGGGCTTTTTTGTACCCTGAGTACTGCCTGCAAGGCATTCATGCCTACTAGAGACCACTGCAAATGTATTGATTTAAAGAGTAATCAACTCCTTTAAAGTAATCTTTATTAAGAATATTTTAAAACTTCACATGTTGATAAAATAATTAAATCTGTATTAACTCATTTACTGCCAGCCATTTCCTGATCAGTAAAGGCCTTCACTGCCATTGTTTGTCGCTGTTTTTACTGTTTTTTTAAGAGTGACAGAACGTTGCGCGCTAGGCTGATGTAGACGCCAAAACAACCAAAACAAAGAGGAGACTCACCTCTTATATCAGGAAGAATAAGCGGGTTTCGAGCGTTATCCGTTCTTTCATAATTCTTTGTCGAATTCCGGTTCATGCCTCACCTTTTTTTTACAGGAAGGCCATTTTTTACTGCTTCCTGATCATGTGACATGTGACGTATGCAAATGAAGATCGGCTTCAGAGCTGAGATGTTTGTTCTCTCAGCGCGGGGGCTCGTTCCGATGCCCAAACTGTAAAAAAAAAAAAAACATGCAAATGACGACTTTAGTCGTCATTGGCAGTGAATGAGTTAACGTTTTTTTTATTCATCATGAAATTTTCTCTTTCCACAACTTTATAGATTGGATCTGTCATGTGAACCTAAACCTTTCAAATAACGTGTGCAGCTGTAGCTAAAGACACATTTTGCTCTTTGGAGAAGGTCTTCTAGCCTTCACCTTTAACATGCTGGTCAATGATTGTCTTCCTAATTTCTTAAAACAACTCTGTCCTTAGTTTTATGCTGTCTGTGTTAAGCCTGTACACACCCTAATGCCAGAACAACACTGTGACTACCTTTCACCAGACAGATTGATTAAAGATACATCTGATGCTGATTACAACACACCTTTTAGTTTTGCCATGGTCAAATTGTTTTTAAAGGTTTCTAGAAGTACCATCAGTTTTATACCGCCTGTGTCATCATCTTGTTTTTTTTTTTCATTATTCTCCGCAACCACAATTCAAAAATGTCTAATTTTTGTTTGCTGGTCCAAACGTTATGCTGTCGTTGTTCTCTCGTGCTTCATTTCCTCCTTTAACAGTGACCTTAAAGGATGCATTCTTTGTTTTCTCATAGCTACAACCTTTTCATCATTACCCAAAAATACTGCATAATTAAAAAAAAAGATTGTTTATAAATCTGTTAAATCTGTTAATCCCTTGCCGTTTCCCTCCGAATCTTTTTTTTTTACCCTGCAGACTAGATCTTGTGATTTGCTCAGAGCATCATGTTGTTTCTGTAACCTTTTAAGCAGCAGCCCTGTATCTGACAGCCTCCCAGTCACAAGCTACTGGCCAGTCGCCACATGCCAGCAGCTGCGACAAACAGATTAACTTTCTCTTTCTTTGTTCTTATACATTCAACATCACATGAGCACCGTCTGTAAGGAGCTTCACAAGGGCGCACACACACACACACACACGCACGCACGCACACACACACACACACACACACACACACACACACACACACACACACGCACGCGCACACACACACACACACACACACACACACACACACACACACACACACACACACACACACACACACACACACACACACACAGGGAAAGAGAGAGAGAGAGACATACACACAGACTCACATGCACACTTCTAATAATTTTCTCCTGTTGCAGAATTTTGCTGATTTACATCATTTGCCTTGCTGCTGTATGTTCAAATATTAGTTTGTCCTTTAATGTTATTTGCCTAAAAACGTACCCACCATTCATGTGTGTGGGGAACGCAGGTGGGACTTTCTGCTTTGGTAGGCCAGGCGTCATGCTTACGAGGACACTGTCCTTCCTTGGTCAAAGAAAACGGTTGAATGGAACAGACCGAATTATATTTCATACGTATAAGTTTCAAAATAAATGCATAACAACCTTTTACTTTTTTAATTGTGTATATATTGATTCAATTAAATGTGTAAGCAAGTTACTACCTGCTAGCCACCAAAGCTGCAAGCAACTAACCAACCAGAGACAACTGCTTTGGATCTGAGAAACATTTTAGATATCAGCTCGATAGCTACAATTAGTTGACTTACATTTAAACTGGAAGTTTGTCCCAAAGTAACTGCTGGCTCCTGATCCGCCATCCTTTTGAAAATACCGTGCTGTATTCTGGGAAATTTTTGACCAAGAGAAGAAAACAAGACACCTCCCACGTATCCGTGGTCAGTTAGCTAAACGACAAACAACCGGAGGACAGATGTCTTGGTAGAACATGAGCATTGGCACACGCCTTGGTGGTTCTTGATGACGTATCTCCTAGGCCAGTGTTTCCCAACCATGGTCTTCAGGGACATCTGTCCTGCATGTTTTCCATGTAGCCTTTTCAAACACCAGGGTTTCCCTGCTGCCACACACCTGACTTAAACGAATGAGTGATTAAATAGTATCTGCAACACTTGATATCCTCCTGAGGAGCCAATGTAAATCAGGTGTGCAGAAGCAGAGACATGAAAGACGTAGGACAGTCATCCCTGAGGACCAGGGTTGGGAAACACTGTCCTAGGCAACCGGGGCGGGACCAAGGCATCAAGGCGAGGTTCCTTGACATTGAGAAACATACAATATTCTAATAGTCGGAGACTTTGAATGTGGGGTTTTCATAAGCTGTAAACCAAAATCATCACAATTATAAGAAATAAAGGCTTGAAACATCCGGCTTAGCATGCATTTAGTCTATCTCATATATGAGTTTCATGTTTGAAGCTGAATTATTGACATAAAAGAACTTTTGCACCACGCAGACATTTTTTGAGTCTCACCTGTTGTGTGCAAATTCTGCTTTCAAAAACATAACATGGAAGCATTTTTAACTGGGATCAAAATGTGTTGCTACTCACAAACACAAGATAGTCCAGATAAAAAGCCCAAAACAACATTCACTTACCTCAGCTGTTTTTAGAAGTTTCAGCTGTTGTAAAGTTAGTCTTCTAGTCTATTTAGCATGGCTAATGTTGAAATATTAGCTCCATGTTTGTGCCTCGTGTAGCATTTTTAAGGCATTCTCTTGTATATTGTAACATTTTATTAACGTTTACCATTGTTTTAACATTCTTGCCTATACTGAGTATTTATGCACATTATTCTACGAGCAAAGCCACAATCAAGCCTGCTCACTAACCAAAGAGTATGACATATAACTGACAAAACATGGCTAATCAAAGGCGACCCCCCACTGCTTTGAAAGATTCTGGCTGTTGAGTGAGCAGTAGTAAAAATGTAATTGGCTGCTTCAGGGGAGAATGTAAGGGTTCAACCACAGGTCTTGGTTTGTCTAACTCTCAGATGTCTGTTGACACAACAGCCTAGCTGTACCTTTGGATAGTCAAGTGAAAGTCTCCACCATGTGTGACTGCTCTCTTTATTTCCCCTCTGAAATCCTGCTGAGACCTCATGTGTCTAATTTTCTCACCTGAGTGCCAAATCCCACTGGAGCAGAGATAAACTGTGTTGTTGCTTAAGATGCTTCTGTTTTGTTCTTCACCGTGAAATTGCTTTCTCATGGTTTGATGTCTTGTGTCTCCGTGTCCACACAGAGCCGCATGGCCGAGAGCTTGCGTCTGTTCGACTCCATCTGCAACAACAACTGGTTCACCAACACGTCGCTCATTCTCTTTCTCAACAAGAAGGACTTGCTTGCCGAGAAGATAAAACGCATCCCTTTGACAGTGTGCTTCCCTGACTACAAAGGCCAAAACACCTACGAGGAGGCGGCTGTCTATGTGCAGCGGCAGTTTGAGGACCTCAACCGCAACAAGGAGACCAAGGAGATCTATTCGCACTTCACCTGTGCCACTGATACCAGCAACATCCAGTTTGTGTTCGATGCTGTCACGGACGTGATCATCCAGAACAATCTCAAGTACATTGGTTTATGCTAGGACCTGACGCTTGGTGGGAGGAGGGGGTTGGTTTGGGATGGGGTGAAGCGGGCAGCTCGGCAGCCCACCGTCAGGCTGCATGTTAGTCTGTCTGCCCGACTGTTTTTCTCTTTGAAGGAGACGCAACAGGGAACTGAGACGGTAGCAAGATGGCCGAGCTATGAACGATACTGTAGAGTCAACTGTTTGGATTGGAACGACAGAGCTGATAGACTGTGGTCAAAATGGGATTTTTATCCTATGTGTTTGCACTGATTATGAGTATGCAGACACACACACACACACACACACACACACACACACACACGCACGCATCTGTATCGTTTGTTCTCACACAAGATCTCTGAATCAACAGTCACGCTCTCGTTTGATGAGGTCACACTGAAAGCCCGTCAAACCAGAGACTGAATAGTGCTGGCAGGTTTCTTTACTTTTATCTTCTTAATATTATTTGCCTGAGTCAATTAATGCTGCTTTATGAAAAGAATTCTGACAAATCAATGCTGTGTTCAAGATCTTCACCCAAACTATAAGAAACAGATGAGATGTAGAGAGGGCCTCTGTTTCTGAGGGGGAGCGTCAGTAGATATGATTCCACAGGATTTCTGCCTAAAAATGTAAAAAAAAAAAAAAAGTAAACTGCCACAGACTAAAATGGAGGGATGCGTGTTTTTAAGAAAATTTCCCCCCCTCTGGTTGACCCTCTATTGCCCCCCCCCCCCCCCCCCCCCCCATTTTGTTCAGTCTTTCTGTGCTTGAAAAAATAGAAAACGTCTCTCAAACCTGCTCTTTCTAGCGGGTCCCTAGCTTTTAATACCAGGAGTATGTTACACCCAGTAGAGCTAAAAGTATTTGCGATCATTCCGAGTTTCCAGCAAGAGACGACAAAAACAGTGCCAAGATTAGTTTGTAAATAAATTCAGATCCCGTTCATTAATATTTTATTTTTGTTCTGTTGTTATGGACAAATACATTAAAACATGCATGATTTTGTTACGTTGGGATACTAATATATTTTGTTTCAATTTTTTTCTCTTTTCTTTGGTTTTAAATAATATATTCCCAAATATATAAATATATATAAAAGTCAAACACTGTGTGCGATTGTACAGTTCTCAGAGAGAGGAATCTATTGAAAAAGAGATATATCAATATAAAAATTGTGATAATATTGTTATATTGACCAAGATTATTATGATGGTGACTAAAGTAATGACAATGAAAACTTCACTTTACTGTTTTATACGGAAGGAAAAAAGCGGATCAAAGGAAAACGAGAAATTTGAAAAAGACAAACCTTGAATGCTCAATCTTCCTTTATTATCCAAGTGAAAATTGTCAGTTGGTATGATGTGTAAATATGCTGTAAGGTACACTCTTTGCTCGGACACATAAAAATAACAGGTTGAGTTGGTAAGATAAAGATGTGGTGAGAGGGAGAGGAGGAAGATCGTCCTCCACTCTTCCTCTTTCTTTTCAGTCACAGAACAACGCAACCAAGGGCTTCAGGTCTGACTTTACAGGATGTCCACTTTAACTAAAGAAAAAGAATAAAAAAAGACAGTGAGATAAATATAAAAAGGACAACAACTATGAATAAAACAACTTATGCAAATTTTTATGTTGTAGTGAATGTGTTTTTGGGTGTTGATTGTGTCAGCAGTGCTTTAAATGTGTTTGGGATGGAAATGTTCACACTGTTACAAGTCGGCCACGCATCTTTCTTCTTCTACTATAATTATGCATCAAAATGATTTGCAACCTGGAAAAAGGACGCCCTGTCCAAAATCCATGCTTCCGTCCTCAGTGTCCATACTCATGGTATAAAAAGGGTTTGTCCTCTGCATACAATGTAGCCACTGGAGCAAGAAAAATTTGGGCATGAAGTATGCAATTAAATTACTCCTGAATGAACTTGGCCTCTGTGTGGTGGGATGACAGGGTACAGTGGTAAAAGGATTCCACTCTAATTAGTGTATAAACTCTAGCTGACCCAAAAAGTCTGTTAGTGGGTCTGTCACATGCAAATCTCTTTTCCAAATGTATTAATATTAGAATTTTCTCACAGCAATACAAGTCAGGTCTTTCAGAAGAAAAACAAGCTTTCAGTAGGACAAGGAAATCCAATTTTAAAGTCGATTTGTTGCGCACAGTGGGGATGTTTTCATATTTATAACATTAAACAATATTTCTAATGCTTTAACGTTGGTTCTGTAGAACAGTTATGAATCATTATTATTTCCTTATGCGTCAGGGAGCCCAAGTCTCCTCCCCTTCCGGTCAGCTCACGGGTTGCCTGAACAAAGATAAATGAGTGAATGGGGCTAGAAAAGATGTTTTCTAATGTGCTTTGCCTTACGCCCTCAATCACACGTATGTTGTACTGCAGTTTAAATGAATAACAGTTATGTGTGTTTTACCCATGTCTGATGTAATCTGAGATTTATTAGTCTGTAAGAATCTGTAATTAAAATCAGAAGTTACATCTATGACGTCACTACAGAGCCTCTTCTCCCCCAGCGTAGCTGCTACTTACCACATGACCAGGTTTATTTCTCCACTTGTAATGCTCCCTCTGTCATCCTGGAAGAAGGATGCGAAGTTCGCTACACTCACAGCCATTTTCTTCTTCTCCTTGTTTGGTTAGATGATGTCAATTTTGTGAGACGAGCAGTTGTAGTCCACTATTTGTTCTCACACAAAACACAATACAAACCCATGGACCAGAGGAAGATGGGTGTGACTTGGGCTACCTTTGGTTATTAAGACTTTGAATGACCTCAGTTTGGTGAACTTGAGTTAATTTGACAAAACTAACAACCTGTTAATCTAAGCAATGCTAACCTCAAAGTGAGATTTGCTATCTACATAAACAGATAAACACATAAACAGCTACACGAACTATTACTGGGATTCTTGAATTAGAACTCCAGCAGTTCGTGCAAAGGCTTCATTATAAACTTTTAAACAGTCATGCATTGTTCTGGTGTTTCTGAAGGTATTATAATGATATTCCAGCTGAAAGTACCCCAGGTGTTACCAGAAAAGCTAACTAACAGAAACTGCTAATAGCATTAGCAAATGATCAAAAACCTGTCTAACTATTCATGTTTTGTGAACTTAACTGCTTAAAAGTGTAAAGTTCTATAAAGGTCCCCACAAGCCACTATGAATTTGTATCATTTTAGTTGTTTTTAGACAGCAGTAACACTTTTTTGTTGTTGCTGTTCCTGCTGAGTTAGCCCTGCCAATTCTCCAAGCTAAAGTTGCTAACATAGCTACTATCCCTATAAAACACACAAACGTTTAAAATCACAGTCGTGTTGATTTTATGTACGTTCCTGGGTGGAAAACCTCTCCAAGTTCTGGATATTTGTTTAGAGAAAGATTAAAGTAAGAGTGGTTTGAGGGAGCATGAATACAACTCTGGATCAGAGAATGGTTTTAGTTTAAATGGGGCCTTGTGACTGTCATGTGGTCAGAGGCGATGGCTACTATGAAAGCCACAAAGTTATAAAAAATCAATAGAGATATAGAAATGTTTTGCATTTGAACAATCAAGAGGCAATTTTCAGATAGTTTGTTTGCACAAATGAGTCAGCAGCATGGTTTAGAGTTTCCTCAAGAATGTTTGGTAACAAGATAATGCTAAAACAGCTGATGAATACCTTCAGATAAAGTTAATGCAACCATTTATATTTGCTTTAGTGTAAAGTGCTATAAGTATTAGCAGCTCAGAGCTTCACTGACAATATTTCCATGAACAAAGCTGCCCCATGGTGATTGGATTAAATCTATAGTATGAGAGAACTCAACACATTTTCATGTTCCCACTAAAGAATGAAATCAATACCGAGCAGTTTGACTAGTCTAATCTAAATCTTAAGGTCTGAAGGTTTCAAGTATCACAAACTTTCTCAGCGAAAAACAAAAAACAAGTTTCTAATGCTTAATCCTGTAAAACAGACAAGCTAAGCTAATTATATTCAAATACAAACAAGCTTTTCTTGGATCGTTGGGTTCAGGAATCGACAAAGCATGGTAAGGTTTTGGTTTTATTGTTAAAGAAAACGGTGTATTTATTATTCATCTATTGGTCGAAAAAGCTAAAACATACCGTGCTCAGCATAAATGAGTACATCCCCTTTAAAAAGCATGAATTTAATCAGTAACTCAATGAACAAAAGAACAATTTCTGAATTTTCATATGGCTGGGTTTTCCTGAACTCTTGTTTAACGCCATAACATGAAATTAAGGTTAATAATATAACTTAGATCACAAAATCTTTAGTTTGACTAAAATTGGTTTTAGCAAAAATGAGTACACCCCACAGAAATACTACTACACCAATTTTTTTGTATGACCACCGTGATTTTCAGGGACATATTGCAACATCTATCTGTTTCCATTCTTCAAGAATAACCTCTTTTAGAGCCTGGATGCTGGTTGGAGAGTGATGCTCAACTTGCTGCTTCAGAATTCCCCACAGATGTTCGACTGGGTTCAGATCAGGAGACATGGCCATTCAATCACCTTCACCCTGTTATTCTTCAGAAATGCAACAGTAGCTTTAGATGTGTGTTTGGATCATTGTGTTGGTAAAGACTACGACTACGTGCACGGAGTGATGGCAGCATCTTCTCCTTCAGTATAGAGCAGTACATTGTTGAGTTCATGATACCATCAATGAAATGCAGCTCCCCAACACCAGCAGCACTCATGTAGCTCCACATAAGGACACCACCACCACCATACTTCACTGTAGGCACCATTCTCTTTGAAATCCTCACTTTTAGGACGCTATACAGTTTAGAAACCACTAGTTCCAAAAATGGTGATCTTTGTCTCATCACTCCAGAGTATAGAGTCCCAGAAGTCTTCACCTCTTTCAGTGTGAGCCCTAGCTACTAGCTTTTTTGTGCACGGGCTTTAGGAGAGGCTTCCTTCGTGGACGATACCCATGCATGCCATTCCTCTGCAGTGTGCACTGTATGGTGTCATGGGAAACAGTCACTCCAGTTTGGCTTTCACCTGCAGTGAATTTGCATGGTGATTTTCTTCAACCCTTCTCATCAGAAGACGCGTCTGTCGAGATGTAAAGTTCCATGGACGGCCTGGACAGCTCTGTAAGATGGTTGCATTTCCATCTTTCTTAAATTATTGGATCACTTTTGCTAGAGTATTTTGACTGATAAGTGACATGGTTTGGGGAATGTGTTTAACCCAAGACATGCAGAATCATACACTCACAGATCTTATGGTAAAAAAAAGAATCATTATTTTAAAACGGGGTTACCCCGTTTATGCCCTGGATCCTCAATGAAGGAGCGGGGGACCCAGGAACGCTCCTCTGGAATGTACCCCTCCCAGTCGACCAGGTACTGGGTACCCCAGCCACGGGGTTGAGAATCCAGAATCCTGCGAACTGTATAAACCAAACCCCCCTTGTAGAACCGTGCAGGAGGCAGAGGAGCCGGAGTAGGGCAGAGGGGGCTCGAAACCACAGGCTTAACTAAGGACATGTGAAAAACAGGGTGAACCTTAAGGGAGTGTGGGAGCTCCAACCGAACCATGGAGGGAGTAGGGACGTCCAGTATCTTGAACGGACCTATGAGCCAGGGAGACAGCTTACAGGAGGTTGCCTTTAGCGGGATGTCGTTGGAGGAGAGCCAGACCTCCTGACCAGGGGCGTAATCCGGAGCCGGCCGCCAGCCGTTTGTTCCTATCGGCTGTTCTGTCCAGAGCTGCCCGGGTGGAGGCCCAAGCATGTTTGGCCCCCGGAGGAACTGCGGAACAATGGAGGGAGCCGAGGACTGCTGGGGATACAGGGATGGTTGATACCCTAAGGAGGCTTCGAAGGGAGACTGACCTGTTGAAGTTGAGACGTGGCAGTTATGGGCACATTCGACCCAGGCGAGGTGGGAACTCCAGGAGGATGGGTGAGCGGAGCAGACGCAGCGCAGCATCACCCCGAGCTCCTGGTTCATGCGCTCACATTAGTCCATTAGTCTGCGGGTGGTAACCAGACATGAGGACGACTCTGGCTCCCAGAGCCTTGGCAAACTTCTTCCATACTCTAGAGATGAACTGGGGTCCCTGATCAGAGAGAATCTCCTCAGGGATACCGTAAAGCTGGAACACATGCTTAATGAGCAGTCTTGATGTAACTGTGGAAGAAGGGAGAGATTTTAACGGTGTGAGGTGGCAGGCTTTAGAAAAACTGGTCCACAATGGTGAGTATCGTATTGAAACCATTGGAGTCTGGCAACCCGCAAACGAAATCCAAAGCTACGTGAGACCAGGGTCGAGAAGGAGTCGGAAGAGGATTTAATAATCCTGCCGGAGACCGATGGTCCCCCTTTTGCTGGGCACAAATGTGGCATCCTGAGATATCGTCCTTTACATCCTTGTACATTGCCAGCCACCAGAAAGTTCGTCTTATAAGGGCAATTGTGTGTCCCGCTCCTGGGTGTAGAGAAAACCTGCCAGTGTGTGCCCAGTGGATGACTTTGCCCCTCATAACCTGTGGTACATAGAGCCGGCCAGGAGGACCCTTACCTGGACCCGGGTCAGTCTTAAGTGCCTCCAACACCTGATCCCGGATCTCCCATGTGACTCCGCCCACCACACATGCCGGGGAGAGAATTGTAGAGGGCTCGACCTCCTGATCTGGAGCGCACTGTCTAGAGAGGGCGTCTGGTTTGGTATTCTTAGGACCTGGGCGATAAGAAATCTGGAAATTAAAACAAGAAAAGAAAAGAGACCACATGTGGTGCCGTGGGTTAAGCCTCTGTGCCTCTCTTAAGTAGACCAGGTTTTTGTGATCTGTCCAGATGATGAAAGGTGTTTCAGCTCCCTCTAGCCAGTGTCTCCACTCCTCTATTGCAAGCTAAACAGCCAGAAGCTCACTGTCACCCATGTTGTATCTGCTTTCAATGGGGGTTAAACGACGAGAGAAAAAAGCACAAGGGTGAAGTTGATTGTCCGAAGGAGATACCTGAGAAAGCACTGCACCTACACCGGTGTCTGAGGCGCCCACTTCAAGTGTAAACTGGCATTGGGGATCAGGTTGGTGGAGCACAGGGGCGTTTGTAAATCTCTTCTTTAGTGTCTGGAAAGCAGCCTCGGCTTCTGGGGACCAAACAAAAGGCCGATTAATAGAGGTCAAGTTTGTCAGAAGGGTGGCTGTCTGACTGTAGTTCCTGATAAACCTCCTGTAAAAATTTGTGAATCCCCTGAACCTCTGCAGCTGTTTACGGGACGTCGGAGTGGGCCATTCAGTGACCACACGGACCTTCTTGGGGTCTGCCCTCAACCTCCCGCTCTCAATGAGAACCCTAGAAATTTTACCGTAGGGACATGAAACACACATTTCTCAGCCTTCACATATAGGCGGTTCTCTAGGAGGCGTTGTAACACAGACTTAACATGTTGTTCCTCAGAACTAGAGAAGATTAAAATATCGTCTAAGTAAACAGTCACAAACTTATTCAAATAGTCTCCCAAAACAGAGTTCACTAGGGACTGAAAAACAGCTGGGGCATTAGTCAAACCAAAAGGCATCACCAGATATTCGAAATGTCCGATGGGTGTCTTAAATGCAGTCTTCCACTCATCCCCCTGATGAATTCATATCAAATGGTAAGCATTTCTAAGGTCCAAGTGACTGAAGATGGTGGCATCCTGAATGGGCTCAAAGGTAGAAGTTAACAATGACAGAGGGTACTTATTCTTAACAGTTATCTGATTAAGACCCCTGTAGTCGATGCAGGGTCTGAGCATTCCCTCCTTCTTAGGAACAAAGAAGAAACCAGCTCCCTGAAGCAAGGAGGATGGTCTGATGAGTTTGGCGGCCAGAGACTCCTGAATGTAGCTCTCCATGCTCTCTCTCTCAGGCTTCGAGAGGTGATAAAGGCGGCCGAAGGGAAGAGGAGCTCCGGGCAGCAGATCTATGCTGCAGTCGAAGGGTCTGTGAGGAGGAAGTGAAGATGCCCAATCCTTACTGAAAACTTGACTGAGGTCGTAGTAGACAGGTGGCACTGCAGATAAATCAATATTTTCCACCAGAGGGGCAGCGGGACTGCGGAGGATCGGAGAGGCTGAGCGGAGGCAGGTCTGTGAACATTCGGGGCTCCACTCCACTACTCGGTTCGTTTTTCAGTTCACGTGAGGGGTGTGGAGAGACAGCCAGGAGTGACCCAGGACCAGCGGAGACCAAGGAGAGGGAAATACATAAAAAGCCAAAGTCTCCGTGTGGTTACCTGACACCCGTAACTGCAGAGGGATGGTCTGGTGAGTGATGGTGGATAGGTTCGGGTCGTCCAAAGATGACACAGAGAGAGGAGTAGGCAGCTGAATGGTAGGGATCTTCCACCTTCACCAAGTCAGGGTCCATCAAAGATTGCTCAAAGCCAGAGTCAACTAGTGCCTCGAGTGTAAACTGCTCAGAATTAAAAAACACAGAACACTGGAGTATGCAATGGGAGCTCGCAGAGGTTGACTTACTGCCTACCAGTAGTCCCGTCTTTACTGGTGGGCTCTACCTTTAAACAGTACTGGGCAGGCTCTAGCGATGTGTCCAGACTCCCCACAATATAAACACAGACCTGACCTTATACGATGTTGTCTCTCCTCCTGGGTGAGGCGAGTCTCTCCCATCTCCATGGGTTCATCTGAGGAGGTGAGCTCTGCGGAGGAGCGAGGACCCGAACCATGATTACGGTCAGGAGTGGAGGCGGTTCTGGCACTGGAACTCTGGTGTCGCAGCTCAAGATGGCGCTTATCGATGGATATAGCCAGGCGAATGAGTTCCTCCAGCGTGCGCGGTTCCGGGCACAACGCCAGCTGGTTCCGGACTCGGTTGTTGAGGGACTCAGTGAAAGCAGCGAGAAGGGCATCTTCATTCTAGGAAGACCCTGCTGCCAAAGTTCAGAACTCCACCGACATATCCGCCACCGATCTCTGACCCTGCGATAAATTCTATAGCCATTTTCTGGTATCCGTAACGGACTCAGTGCTGCCAAAAGTCAGCTTGAAATCAGTTAAAAAGTCTTCAAAAGGGACCAGATAGAAATGTGGAACAGTGACTCTTTGCTTCCGCCCATCTCAGGGCTCTTCCACGAAGTAATCCAACAATATACAAGATCTTAATTGAGTCTGTGGTGAAAGCTCCTGGTGATCATTCGAATGCGAGTCGACATTGTAAAAGGAAGCTGTAACAGTCCTCAAACTCACTGCTGAAGGTCAGAGATGGCGGTGATGCGGCTGGACAGAAGTGGGTGACTTCCATAGGAACTGCTGCTTCCAGTCCAGGGACAACAGGAGTAACAGAGGCGGCCAGCAGAGGTTCCGAAGCGGAGGCCTGAGTCTGCGGTTGGGACAGCCTGGCGTGTATCTACCACACCAAGGCCTCCAACTGCTGGTATTGGTTGTTTGCTGCGTGTAACTGCTCCATTAGCAGCAGCAGGGCTTGTTCTTGTTGAGACAACCTGTGGAGCAGATCAGTGAGAGGTGTGTCTGTGGGGTTAGCAGTTTGGCCGGATGATTCTGACATGGTTTGGGGAATGTGTTTAACCCAAGACATGCAGAATCACACACTCATAGATCTTATGGTAAATAAAATAATCTTTATTTTAAAACAGGAACTAAAGGTGCACAGGAAAAGCCTAGTGGAGATCGAGAATGGGAGCGCAGCGTTGGGAGTAGGGGAGCGTAGGAATGAGGGAGGGTAGGTTGGGTGCCGGGGTGAATCCAAGTGGGGTGTTGAGGAGAGGGAGCAAGAGCAGAGCAGGAGAGCAAGAGAGCGGGCTGACCGTGAGAAATGGAGAATGGTGAGAGCTGCGTACGGAAATCCTATGGGGCATAGGTGAGTAATCCTGAGGAGTCACAGAAATCCAAAGATGTAATCCAGAGAAGTCACAGAAGTCCAAAAACGTTCCAAAATCTGGTAACGGGTAAGCACAGGGAAAAGATCCAAAGGTTCACAAGAATCCTAGAAACACTAGAGCACAAAATCCAAGAGTCGCAAGAGGGCAGGAAACTACCAAGCTGTAGTAATCATCCGGCGTCGAGGAGTGTTCTCCATCCTTCTTTTGTAGCCAGACCCGCTGATTGCAAATCAGCTGCAGCTGGAGCCTCCCTCTCCTGAAACACACAACTCAAAGATGGGAAAATGAGAGGAGTACTCACCCCAGCACATGACAATATGTGAAGCTTTGTTGATCTTCTTGTAGCCCTCACCTTCTTTTTGTAAAGAAATTATTTCCTTCCTGAGATTTTGTGACATTTCTCTTCCATGTGGAGCCATTGCTCATAGCATGAACTGGGAAGGGCTTTTCTTGTTAAGTAACGCCCTTTTATAGTCACCTGTCTGCTGGACACCTCTTACATGAATCATTAGACTCACCTGTGGTTGAATACCTGTTCATTTGAATTTTGTAGTCTTAAGTGTGGCTTTCTCCCAAGACTATAATTGGGTTGCACTCATTTTTTGCAACATGAGCTTGAATGGATTTGTTAAGAAAATCACTTTTTTGTGTTTTTAATCAATGGTCCACGTTTGTGGGAGTAATTTGTAGTTTGGTATCTCATAGAAAATGTTGATTCTAAAAGGAAACTAAAGGTTTTCTGACAAATGTAGCGGGTGTACTCAATTATGCTGAACACTGTATGTGTATTTTTGGCTCCATCGGCCCAAAGACACAAAAAAAATTATCCATGAGTACAAATGGCATAATTTTACTCATTTGTTTTCACAATGCACATTATGAATTCAACCATCATCACATTAGAAGAAAATGTGTGGATTTTATTCATTTAGAAGACAGGAAATATAGAAAAAACAGTCCAAATATGGACTTTCCTGTTCTCTGAAAGCCCGACTAAACTCAGATCTGTTATTGAAACATCCATTATACACTAAGGAAATGAATATAAGTAAGTAATTCACCAAAAACCAGACACAATAAAAACGGCCAACCGCTAACATGTTCCAGGACCATCTATGCTAAATGATTCTGACACTTTTAAATCAAACAAAGACGAAGAAGCTCTAGATCATTCCTATGGTACTATTTGGTACTTTAGATCAACAAACTCTCCAGAAACATCACTCCTCCTCCTCCTCCCTTCTGGTTAACTCTCACTCAGGTTTCCCTTTGGCCTCCACATTACTCCCTTCCATAGATCCTCTCTCCCTCTTTATCCCTCTGCCCCCCAACTGCTTCTTGGATGAAACCTACCATATGAATCCAACTGACAACCCTTCAGGCAGCTGAGGGGAAATTCCACATAGCCCAGCTTTGTTATCTCCTCCTTTCTATCTGCTGGCAGAATCTGCCATTTAGCACTCTGGGTCCAGTCTTGTTCTACTTCAGAAGACTTATTTATCCTCTCCTCTCTTTTCAGCACTGCTGGACTTTACTCCCCCCTCATGTGTTCACATCACAGTAAGAGTGATGACAGCTGAAACTCATCATCCAGGCTTTTCATGATGACCGCTGGCTGCCGTCTCCTCCTCTGACCCATCCAAGATGAGCTTAACCCTCTGGAGGCAGGAGTTGCAGTTTTGCAACAGTTAAAACCTACCTACCTGCTTACTCCACAAATGCATTTCATGAGAATTTTTTTTAACTCAGAAGTACCCCTGAAGGACTTAGTTGTTTGTCCTTTTATCAAAACTTATTTTGAGCCTGAGAGGGTTAATATCTTCTCCCAAACTATTCCTAAATTAAGTCTTTAGAAAAAAAAAGCAAAGACTTAACATCTGCCCTGTTGAACCATCTCCTTGTCCAGGACTGATGCTGCTGATCTGCTCCGTTTTCCAACCCCCTTCACATCTGGCTGTGAACCATCTGTCTTTAGTTGGAGCCACAGCTCTCTTCATGAAAGCCTTCTCATCTATAGACATCATTAAAACATCAGGGATGGGTTTTTCTAATGCAACGCCTTAGTTGTTCTGCAAAAGTAAGTTGTAATTAGATTAAATGCTGAAATACAATGTTTTTATCAACCAATCAAAGTTCTAATATGCAGCTGAACACGACATGTGAAACAGATCAAGTAACTTGGAAAATACTGATGAAAACTTCTTCTTTTGCAAGAATCTGAGATAAGATTTCAAACATTTCTCTGAGGGACTTGGACTGTACAGGCAGGTTAAACTATGTAGGGTTTTTGAATCAAATAGGGCACATTTGTACCTAAGTAGTCTTGAATTTACAGATAAGTTTTAATTCTTGCATAAATGATTCACCTAGATGATGCCTCGAAGTGAATTCTCTGGACTAAGGCATTTTGTCGTGTTGCAGATCAAACTCGATCACAGAGCAGATAAGCTTTTCACCTTCATCATTTGTTTGTAGCACCCCTCTGTTTATCCTGCTAATGGAAATTGGGAAAAACGATTATTAAAGTGTGATTACATGAATTAGGAGTATACTTGAGCTTCCTTTTCACATGTTTAAACTACATTTAGACCAATGCTAGAACCAGGTTGGATCGCATTTTCCTTTAAAATTGTCTTCAAATGAATACAAGAGATCTTGGTCTCATTACATGAAAGCATCACTAAGCTGATTTGCAGCTGCACATCCATGATTTGAATCTCACCACATGGAAAAAGAGCTGGATTGGACTCTGGCTTGTTAACCATAAACAACTGTGTGTGTTTATGGTTAAGGAAACTTTATAGTTTGATGGAAACATCAGCTAATCCAACCCCTTCTTTCCACTTGAAAGCGGCGTGTAACGTAAAAGCGGCATTTTACCTCCAAGCTCCCTCAGCAATTGACACAAAATAGGAGCAAAAACGTTCCACGCCACTGGTTCCGCAAAATCACAAAATCACAGGAGAATTGCAACACCACGCGGGATTTTAGAGGTCCACACAATAACAAGCAAGGGGAAACATGGCAGCATGTATCCAACAATGTCAGTGGTTTATGGTAAATGGCCTGTATTTGATATAGCGCCTTCTAGAGTCCTGGAACCCCCCAAGGCACTTTACAACCCAATCAGTCATTCACCCCTTCACATACACATTCACACCCTGGTGGTGATGAGCTAGGATGTAGCCACAGCTGCCCTGGGGCACACTGACAGAGGCGAGGCTTGCTGAACACAGGCACCACCGGTGCCTCCAAACACCACCAGCAGGCAAGGGGGGTTAAACGTCTTGCCCAAGGACACAATGACAGTGACAGACTGAGCGGGGCTCGAACCTGCAACCTTCCGATTACGGGGTGAGCACTTAACTCCTGTGCTACCGTCGCTCTATTTTCTGTTCTGTTTACATTGGTTATATAGGGTTTCACAGGAAATGACATACTAAGTCTGCACATGACATTTACTTTGAAAGTTTCCAGATGTTTAATACTGCTTCTGTGTTTGACTTCCTGTCTGGCCTGAACGTCACTACAGAGTTTGACGGGTTTTGGAAGTGTAGCTCCTAAGAAATAGACTTGAAACGTCCTGTCGCTTCTGGGACACGTCCAAAACCTTCCACTTTACTGTCGTCTGTGGCTTACTGACGTGTAGTAAGTTTCACAACCATTTTCATGTCCGGTGGAAAAAATGGGGTAATAGCTGTGTGGAACTGCCCTTTTGCTGGATAACCAACAAGGGGGTTCCACCTGCTGGTAAAATATGATGTCCTCAAGTTCAGTTCAAATGTATCCATTTAAGCATTGTGTGATATAGTAAAAAGGGACCTCGCGTTCATATATGCATGAACATATGCTTTAGTTTACAATGTGTTGATTTTGTGTGAGACCAAACCTTTAATGTAAAGCTGCTTCTCCAACACAGTGGTGGTGGTGGTGTTTAAATCCCTCACCAAATCCAACTCAAAGTGCTTCAGGGCCGTGGATAGGTTCCCGAGCCAACTTGCATACGTTAAAGCAAGGGGTATAAATGGACGCTTTACTTAGTAACAGTCCGGAAATTATGGCTCGCATCCGGCAATAAAAAGTGAATCATGAAAATGCAGTGGAGGGTTAGAGCTAAGTCACACACGTGTTTGTACTTTTTTGACCAAATCCATTCATTTAAATGGAATCTCTGCAAAGTAACACAATTTTCCTCTGCACTGTATTGGATACGCGTTGCATGCTAACAAATAAGTACAGTTAGAGTGGAAAAGCCTTTAACACTGACAGCAAAAATGCCTTTATGAACAAAAATTAATCTTTGGTACCACCATGTCAGTGCACTTGTGTGAGACGCACGTTGGGAAACAACCTGACAGCATAGGCGACTACCAAATGCGAAACCCTCCAACCTTGAGGAGCAGAACCCTGCTGTCTGTGACGTAAGTCTGCTCTCTGTTCCATCTGAGCCAGGAAGTCTCAGACTGATGGACAGAGACAGAGACATTTGAAGCTGGCTGTCGGTATCAGTGTGCATGCTTATATGTCTCTGTGTGCTCGTCGTTTGATGGGCTGGGAAACCTTCCAGGGTGAACCCTCGGATTGCCAAGTGTCAGCCTGGATATGCCTCAGCCCTTCAGGGTCGGGAACAGGATGAAGACCAGCCACACAAGGATGCAATGTTCTTCTAAATTATTATTTTGTCAAAGACTTACGGACTTGCATGATTAACAGATTAGAGGTGTGAATCTTGTTAATTTGTTCTTGTTTTAGTTGGTCGTTTTGTTTTCTGTTCATGCAAACACACAAACAGCCCATTGTCCATTTTACACACACCGTGTAGAAAAGCAAAACTAATCCAGCTTTTATAATGATGCAGTACGTCTGTTAAATCGCTAAATTAACATAAATTACATTTAGACTGGGGCAGTTGCTGTGTCCCCGAACACATTTTCAGGTGTTTGGAGAATGGCAGCGTGACACCTGAGGATCAGTGTGTGGAAAGTTAGACCAGCTCACTCTAACTCCTGTTTCCTGCTCTACAAGCTACCCAGGTTTGTATTATTGACAGACAGATTACCCTATGCACACTCTCTTGTTTGTGTGAAATCATCCATGTTTTGATTTGCAGTGATTCACCGGTGAATCAGTTTCATAACGGACAAATAAACATCAGTGTGCACATAAAACCTAGTTAGACCTTGAAATTGTGATGCAGCAGAGTGGGATAATGCTGTGGAGCAAATCACGTGAATGTCTGAGTTAACATGTTTCTCCTTCGGGAGCTAGTTGGCTTGCATGCTGTTGAAAACCCAGAGAGGCTATTCCTCTGGGGCTCCTTTCTGACACCAGCTGAGTGCAACATCAGCTTTTTCACCATTCTTTATTTTTAATGATAATAAAATCTTTAAATGGTAAATGGTCTGCTTTTGTATAATGTCTTCTTAGGGTTCTCTGTGTTGCCCTGCGATGGACTGGCTCTCTGTCCAGGGTGTACCCCGCCTGATTGCCCGTTGACCGCTGGACATAGGCACCAGCCCCCCGGCGACCCTGCGTGGACAAAGCGGGTTCAGAAAATGGATGGTTGGATGGATGGATGGTCTTCTTAGGGTTCTACAATCCCTCAAGGTGCTTCACAACACAGTCAGTCATTTACTCATTCACACACTGGTGGGGATGAGCTATGATGTAGCCACAGCTACCCTGGGGCGCAATGAAAGAAGTGAGGCCTGCTGTACACAGGCGACACCGGTCCCTCCACCAACCAACAGCAGGCAAGGTAGGTTGTGTCTTGCCCAAGGACACAACAGCAGCATTATCTTGTCAAAGCCAGGACTGAACCATCCATGCAACCTTCCGATTACGGGACAACCCGCTCTACCTCCTGAGCTACTGCTGTAACTTATTTTATTCACAAAGTGCTTTCAGTCACAGCTCTGAACAATTAAAAGCAGAACCGACAGTGATAAAAGGTAAGCCCAGTATTTAAAACAACGACAACAGTAAACAGCAGTAAGACCTGACTGCTACTTGATAAAAATACAACACAAGGTATTTAAAACTGTTCAGATAAAAGCTAGAACATAAAAGATAGTGTGGACATGAACGTCGTTAACTGTGCTTTAAAAACATACATCGAGCTTGCCAATCTGCAGGGACGGATTAAGGACTAAAGAAGATCCGGGGCTTAACACACACACGTGCGCACGCACACACACACACACACACACGTGACATGCACTAGTCAACATCATATATATTTGTCTTGTACCACATAATTTTTAATCTGAAGCTACATATTAAGCATATTCAGGGCAGAATATTGTTCCTGTTAGTATGTGAGATGATAGTAAATATTCCCTTTCTTTCTCCATCAACCATTACCTGATAGTAAGCTAACTTTAGGCAAACCAGCAGCACAACAAATATTTTCAAATAAGACTCAAACCTTAGTCAACACCAGTCTCATCAAAGCTGGGGTTCTGTCGCGGTACTTTTGATCTAAAAAACGTCCTTATGTCCATCTTCACTCATGCGTTTCAGGCAGAGTGTAGAAGAAACAAGGCAGTGTAGAAGAAACCAGCTGCTGAAGGGCTTCTTCTTCAGTGGTGGAGGCTCAGGCAGGCTGTATACAAACTACTGCTAGCTGCTCCCTCTCTGTTGGACTTTGGTACTGCATGTTACTTCCACGTTTGAGATCCGGTGCTTTTCATTAAAGATTCGGGGCTTCAGCCCAAGTAGCCAGGCCTAACGCCGTCCCTGCCAATCTGATTTCTTGAGAGTTAAGGAGGGAGACTACACCACAGGGATGGTGCACAGAAAGACAAGGGAAGCTCACCAACGGTTTTCCTTCTTGTTATTAGGAGCAGATGTTTTTTGGTAGTTAAAGGTGTGGTTCACTGAAAAACAACTTTTAAATGATTATTTCTGATTATAACCAGTCACTCTGAGTTTCTCATGCAGGTTGAACATGAAAATAGTCTCCTATACCTATCCCCTTAGCTTCTGATAGAAAATAGACTGTGAAACTCTAGGATTTGAAAATTCTCACAGATCTACGTCACACTGTCATTTAACTTTCATGGACTCACCCATCTTGACTCATGACAGGAAAGGCTGCTTATGTTTTAGCATCCATGAAACAGCAGAGAACATCTTAGCTAGTAGAAGTAAACGTTAGCATTTCCAACTCCACAATACAGCAGAAGCTCCTCCAGGCTGGTGTTATTTGTGAAGATAAAACATCCAAGTTGAAAAGTAAACAGAGTCAGTAGAGTTGCATTTTCGTTAGCCATTCAGAGGTGAGATGCCCAAGTATCAGGAAGTCAAACTCCAAATCCTGCCATCTGAAGCTCTCATCTGATTTGGCAATCTTCTAGATCCTGAAAAAGGCATACCAGAGCTTTTTGTACCCAGAGTACAACTTACAAGTCACCTACTAGAGCCTAATGCAAATGTATTGATTAAACCAGTGTTTTCCAACCCCGGTCCTCAGGGCACACTGTCCTGTATGTTTTAATTGTTGCCCTTTTAAACACCAGTGTTTTCCTGCTGCCACGCACCTGACTTAAATGAACAAGTAATTAACAGGTATCTGCAGCACTTGATGTCCTCCTGAGGAAGCAATGCAAATCAGGTGTGCTGAAGCAGAGACGTGGAAAACATGCAGGTCAGAGTGCCCTGAGGACCAGGTTGGGAAACATCGGATTAAACAAGAGAGCCACACCTTTAAACATGAAAAACTGTCTGGAATTATCATGTTACATGTCCTCTGTGCCGTTTTTGATGCATAGATAATCACATTTCACCTTTGCTTTGCTCATGACAAAAAAAAAGAATTAAATAAAAAATAAAAAATTGGTAGACATGTTGCTTTTACATTCAATTTAATTTTACAAAAAAGCTATTTGGACACCATTTAACTGAAATTTTACTGTGAAAGCCCATCTGAACTGTGGTACAGACCAAACAAAAGCATAAACAATGGTTAAAAAAATACCAAAACAAATGAGTGGGAGTTTTTTCAGCAACTCCATCCAATAAAACTCCTTTGGACTATCCAATGCACTGTAACACATCCTAGAAGGGCCCGGTCAGTAAACAGATTACATCCTGGTACCTTGCAGGAAGTCAGGTGAGTAAGTTGTGCTGTAGTTGGCTCATAGAGCATCTTGTATGCTGATTTATTCTATTGTGCTTAACGTGCATGGAAATAGTTTTTTATATGACTTAAAAGCCCTGTTCACAGTGAGAGAATGGTGCCAATTTTGGACAAGCCCCATTGCTTCCAACAATTTTAGGGATGCGTCCAATTACCAAGATGACTCAAAAGATAATCCTATCAGATCATTCTGCTATGTGTGGTGTGTGAAGAACACTCTGGTCCACTCAGAAGGACGTCAGGACCATTTAGATCATAAATCAGGGATTTCAAACATATTGGATTGTCTTGCTCTTATTTTCAAGAAGAATTGAGTGTTTTTATCGCCACATGTGGGGTCTTGTGTTTTGAAAATTGCCAGACAATCTGTGAAAACCAGGCTTAAAGAATGGTCACCGCTGAATTAATGGGATACTTGATGTCTAATTTCACGGTTTGATACTTTTGTTATTGGAACAAAAATGCTATTAAAAACTAGGGATGCACCGATCAGGTTTTTTGTTGCCGATCACCGATACCGATATCAAAGAATGCTGATCACTGATACCGATCACCATTACCGATCACGTGGATTGGCCAGAAATTTTCTACAACATTATAATGAGTGGAACAAACTACATAATCTGGGAATAAAGGAAATGTAACCTAATCTAAAATGGTCTGTATTAGGGTTGTCACGGTGTGAAAATTTAACCTCACGGTTATTGTGACCAAAATTACCACGGTTTTCGGTATTATCGCAGTATTTTTTTTAAAAGTGCTACATTTTCACACAATTAAATAAACCCTGTATATCAGGAAATATTGTCCTCAGTTTGTGTCTAAATTTTGCCTAAAATGTGTTATTTTGTAATTATGTTGTTTATTTGTTTACATTTTTCCCTTTAGTCTTTAAAATACCAATATTTGCCCATAACTTCTTATTTTTTGTCTGTTTGATGTCATCATTTTAAAAATATTAGTTCAGATGATACTCAGTACTCAAGTAGCCTTCTAATCAGATGCTTTTTTACCCTTACTTGAGTAATAAACCCTATTTCAGGAAAATATTGTCCTCGGTTTGTGTCCTTCCAGTGAGCTTTGCAGATGTGGGAAAATGTCATCAGGCAGTAATCATTGTTAAATTCATAATTATTCTCGGAGAGAGACCAACTCTTATCTGCCCCTGGGAGCCCCGTAATGCATAGCGTCATTTCAACATGGGGGTGTCCGCGACACGGTTTATATGCAGGTAGCGGGCGCTGCGGCTGCTTTATATAGCGACTCGTTGCTTTCTCCCTCAACCCAAATCCTCGGATCACACATTTTAGCTAAAACGCTAACGTTAGCTTGCCTTGCGTTGACTGTAGAGTTGTGGGTGATGGTCACGCAGATGTGTCATGAGATTTGAAGCGTTGCTGCCTTTCGCAGACTCTTTTTCTGCACGTGCTGCAAACAGGATAGACGTCTTCTATCAACTGTCCCTCGGCATTTTTCAAATATCTAAAATAAGCCCGTAATTCCGACTTTGTCTTCTTTGAGGGATAAAAAATGTCCTCCTGAGCGCTGCCGTCTCCTCCTTTGGCCATTATTTCAGCTTTAGCTTCAAGAAAGTTTTGGTTGTAAACAGCAAAGCGTGAATGTGCCGCCGGTCCTGCAACTTCAGCAGATGATACGGTGGCTGGTAAGGGTCACCGTGCCTACACCGCAGCCACGGTAATCCACCGAGATAATATAGTTTTTTTTTTAAAACAAGACGGTAATTATTATTGTCAACTTTTTTTTTACCGGGGTTTACCGCTACACTGGTTACCGTGACAACCCTACCTGATCGGTCTGCTTTGATCTATTTTGAAAACTCCGATCAAAACTGATAGGGGCACTATCGGCCGATTACGATCAAATGCCGATCCATCGGTGCATCCCCATTAAAAACCCACATCAAGATTAAGTGTTTGGTTTTATATATTTTTTTAGAATGATTTCAATTGTTGTTTATTTTAAAAAGTTATTGAATAAATTATTCCAGCATGTTGAATGCCTCAAATATCTTTCTAGACATTGTTTTATTTGCTAAAGAACAAACTAGCCAAGAACTGTTTCTCCAGACGAGGACCTGTTCAGTAAAATCTGCTGAAGTCTGCGATGTTTCAAGGCAGAGAGGGCCACCCAGTGACTCATTTAAAATGAGAAGTTGTGGATTCATGAATAAATATCTAGTGGGACGTTTTATTACATTTACAGTAACGTGACAAGATGGGAAAAACTGTCCTCCTCCTGAAAACAATACCATAATTTCTTCTGGCAGGAAATTAGGACCTGCAATTATGTTTACTGACTAAGTGACTTGGAGTTTGCACAAGGACAAAACAGCTTGAACTGAGAGGAAACATTGGACAGATTTGTAGTCCTGACAATAGCTTTTTCAACTCCATTTTTAACTATCAAGCGATTTTATGTTCCAAAACCAAAAACCAATGTCTCAAATCTATAACTGACAAAGAGATGACCTTGATGGTAAACAATTGATTGTCATTAATGCTTACTGTCAGGGTCTTTTACTCAGACATATGAAAACTAAACTTTACCGGCTGTTTTTCTCAGGTCTGGAGACAGCAGGGAGCCTCATCTCCTCCCTTCCCCGTTGGCTCGTAGGTGTTCTGAATGAAAAAAAAATATCGTAAGTGAACGGGACTATAAAAGGTATTTTCTGATCCGCTTTGCCTTGCGCCCTGGATCAACATCATGTTTTGTAAAACAGCTATGAAAAGTCATGCTAATTACTTAAAGACTGAATAAATTTTCTTAGTGACCTCAAAAATCAACTACAAATGAAAATAAGTAATACGAAGGAAATAAAGGAGCTGATTTAGACTTGGGACTACATTACGACAAAGCACCACTGTAAGCTGCTGCTGCAACGTGCAAGGACATGACGCAGCAGCCCCAAAAGTTGTTTTCTCTCATAGGGTAATTGTTCTCAATTAGCCGGGCACACAAGGGCAATTGTTTAAACAATATATTTATGTATTTTATTTATAGTAATTTATTTGTAAAAATTACCTTTTTAATAACATTATATAATATATAAAATGATGTAAGGTACTAATGGTTCTTTAATCAGCGTAAAAGAAAATGTTATGTTACCACATAAATATTTTTAATAAATACTAGATTTCTATTTTTAAGATCCATACTGTTACGGTTACATCCTCAACAGGTTTTAAAATGTGAAGGAGGGGGTAACATAAGAAACATGACAGCGGATTTAAAAATGGGTTTAATTGTTATTAAAAGGTTCTAAAATCAAGAGGAAACAGTTGGTGAACATTATTAAAATAATGCAAAACAGAAAATTCTCAAAAAAAGGTCAACAGTTAAGAGAACACTTAACATTTAATACCTGGTTGAAACTTTGTTACGTTTTACCAAAACGAGGACAAGAAAACTGGTTTTCAGTTGTGCTTTTAGTTATTTATTAGTTTATTTGTTGACATGTGTGTACATCAGAATTACATTTTAAGATTGCAAAAGGCATAACTGACATTGGTGGATGAAAGCAAGATTAGATGGTAGATGACATCTGCTGTGTAGCAGCTCCCACAGTTGCTCACATGAAGCCTCGTGTGACCACAGAATCAGGGCTTTGTGATTTTGACATACAGGGGATTCTTTCCTCTAATGGTTGCTGCAGGCTTTCTGTGCATCTGCAGCTGATCACCCTGAAGCACTCTCTTCACCCTTGTCTGCTCTGCAGCTCCCAGTGAAAACCTTTAAGTATTTGTCATGAACTTGTAAAAAAATGAACAGCGTGTTCTGCTCACAACCATTGCACTTATTTAAATTTGTGATGGTCCCAAAAAGTGAAATCTGTCAATTTACACTTTATACCTTCAAAGTTTCTTTCAATTATATAACCAGGTGACACAAGGGTAGTTTATGTCTAAAGCTGCCTGTAAAGCTCACTGAGTTGCCTTTGTGTAGGAAATGTACTTTATAAATAAAGCTGTTTTGTCTTGTCTTGTCTAGCCTCTAAGTGCCAACAACTGGGTTATTCTTCTTAATAGACAAAGTGAGTTGAAAAAGAAAGAGATAGAGAGAGAGTGTGTGGTAGTCTCTGTGTCTGCGCCCGTTAGTTAGTTTAGGTTAGGGTTAGGAACAGAACCCCAATGGTTAACGCCCAGGTATGGGTTAGGCATAGTAGAGTCACTAAAATTAATGGAAGTCAATGGAGGTCCACACAAACATATAAAGACAAGTGTGTGTGTGTGTGGGTGTGTGTGTGTGTGTGCATGTGTGCGTGTGTGTGTGTGTGTACACTCGTGCGCACAGTGATGTTACTATAATTTTTAGTAACACAGGTGAAGCATTATTTGAGACAGTTAGTCGCTCTCATTTGTACCTTAACAGTAGGATGATAACAGGTGGACAAAGCACAGATATTTGCGGTGCATTGCTTACCTCTTAGGTCTTGGGCCTTTTCGACTAAAAGGGCGAAGATTATACATGGGACCTGTGCTTATTGAAGGAGGTTCTTGAGAGCCTGTGGCGACTGCTGCACCCCTTCTCCCACATTGGAAAAGCAAAAATATCTCCTCTTCTGTAGTACGGTGTTGTCTTCTACCTGTGTTACTCTGGCTCGTCGTGCATGCACTGGCCAAAGTATTGATTGCGTCTTTGTCATTCAGTACTGCTGCCACCAGATTCCTAGCAGACTCACTCATTGTTAAAATCTGAAGGCAGCTCGCTGCTTGCACAGCTAAAAGAAAAAACAAGATGGCGCTTCAATTTTTCAGTTTCAGTTTTAATCGATAAAGGTTTGTTCCATATATTCAGACTTCAATCAAAATATTCAGACTTTCAGTCCATATATTCAGACTTCAATCAAAATATTCAGACTTTCAGTCCATATATTCAGACTTCGAACCATATATTTGGAAGTATTCTGGTATAAATATACAATAATTTCCTGAACCGCATGCCATAACATATATATGTATATGTATATATATATATATATATATATATATATATATATATATATATATATATATATATATATATGTGTGTGTGTGTGTGTGTGTGTGTGTGTGTGTGTTCATTTATTTATATAAATATATATAAACATACATATGTATATATATATATATATATATATATATATATATATATATATATATATATATATATATATATATATATATATACATATATATATATATATATATATATATTCACAAATCTACACGTTAGATGCAACAAGTGTAGTAAGCTACAAATCATTATTTACGGAGCCCAAATTAGATTGTAACATCCTTTTAAACTGCTCAAGACCATTTAATTACAGTGCTAATGTTTGTAATTATTCTTTATTTGAGACACTTCTAATGAACATGAGGATGCAAGACCTACTCTCATTTGGTTGTGTTTGAACGAAACAACCACCCTTTGGTTTATTTTGTGTTCAGTTCCAAAAGGCTCAAATATGTTCTAACAGGAAAGTGACAACATGGCATCATTTGGTGAATCTTGTATGTGTCTAGTAGTAGTCATTCAAAAGTCTTCAGTGTCAAGCTGAGCTTACACAGAAAATTATCAATCCCATTAAAAAGAAAAACAAGATAGGAAAAATATGTGCAGAAAGAAAAATAATGAAACTAATAAAGGTTTCAGTTTTCCTGTGTTTAAAGCTCTTGTTCCTATTGATCAGTGTGGAGATGGTGGTCAGATTTCTTTGTCCTGTAATGACTCCTACTGGCTGACCCCTGTAACTACGCCTGTCTTCATTTATAGGATCAGGTGGATAATCCTTATGAAAAATAAAATAAAGTAAAATAAGTTTATCATTTTCTTCAGGTTTTTAAAAGATTTTATTTGTTTCACACTGATGGATACATTAGAATACGCTAAGAGAAGATCAAAATATTCTCTCAATCTTTTTATTATTGTTTTGCAATCGTAAGGAGCCAGTTGAGGCTTGAACACCAGGTTGGGGTTCCTCCTGGACACCTCCCCAGTGAGGTGTTACAGGCTATCTACCCGAGAGGAGATCTAAAGGGAGACCCAGGACACGCTGGAGGGACTATGTCTCTCGGCTGGGCATCTATAGGATTCCCCCAAAGGAGCTTGCCTAGGCGGTTGGGGAGAGGGAAGTCTAGGCCTCTCTGCTTAGGCTGCTGCCCCCACGATCTGACCACAGATAAGCTGAGGAAGGCGGATGAAAATGGATGGATGTTCATTATTACATTTTATTAACTGACACATATATTTTATATCTATGTAATTATTGAGTTCAAGTTGTTGTTGTTATTGTTGTTTTTATTCTCAAGGGCAACATGCCAGAGAGATATAAGGACCCACCTTTCGTCAAACTTTTTGACAGGTCTATTGTTCTTTGACCTCATGACCTTGCCCCCCACCTTAGCATAAATCAAATTGACAGGTGTATAGTTCATTGACCCCCCCACCCCCCCCCCCCCCACCCTAGCACAAATCAGATTAGCAGGTGTATTGTCAGTAGTCCCTTTTGTGAAAATCTAAATGTTAAGAAATGAATGTGGTGTAATGGCGCACGAAATCCCCTATTGTGAAGATGTGTATTGTTGATCTGAACCATTTTAGTTACACTTGATAACTGTTTTGTGTTAGCCTTACCCCCAAATTCCACTACCTCTGCTCCGCTCCGCCCCCGCCTTCCGCAGCCGCTCGCTTCTGAACTCAGTTTTTCTTGGTACCCGCTCTACAACGTCTCCGCTCCGGTGCGGAGACCTGAGGTGGGCAAACAAACATGCGCGGGATTTTCGAGATCTTGCGATACAGTCCGAGCAATAAACGCGGAAGTTAGATCCAAACACCCGTTGTGTGGGAGAAGCATCGAAATGAATCTGCCCTTCATTTGTGTTGAGAGATCAGCAGTGTTTGGATCAACAAAGTGTGACTACTTTGATAGTGGAAACTGTATTTATGGCTTATTTTTGTACATTTAAAGTTCAGCCGCCATTGATAGTTGTTAAAAGTTGTTAAACCTGTGCATATGAAACAAAAAATGCCTTTTGTTTATCGATTGATTGTGAAATAATTGAAGTTGTGCTTGCTCCCTTTCCTGTTGGGTGGTTGTGATTTCTGTCCATTTACTGCGGAGGTGCTGGGGTCTCTGGCAAAAATATGATCGATTCTATTTTTGCCGGACACCGGAACAGAGGGCGGCGCACTGCGCCGCACTGCCGCAGCACGGCCGAAATAGTGGAATAGCTCTGATTGACTACAACGGGACCAGTTTTGCTGCGGAGTTCGTGCCAGAGCGGAGCGGAGGTAGTGGAATTTGGGGGTTAGCCTTTCACATGTGAGACCCTTTTGTCAAGATGTATATTGTTGATCTGCACTGCTTTGAGTCAAGATAACTCTTTTGTGTTAGCCTCACAGCTCCCACCCATCATACGTGATACCCCACAACTCCCACCACCCCTGCTTGCCTTTTTAAAAGCTCAGATTCATTTCAACTGACACTGTCGGCACGGGCACACACACACACACACACACACACACACACACACACACACACACACACACACACACACACCAACACTTTAAGTTAATGTTTGACAACTGCTAAATCTAATTCTGAAATTTACACTCAGTTGTTGTGACATTTATACATAAA